GCATTTTAAGGCCTTTAAACGCTTCTAACGCCTAGAAAACGCATTTTAATTTTCTGTGGTCTAAAAAGGCATTTTAAGGCCTTTAAACGCTTCTAACGCCTAGAAAACGCATTTTAATTTTCTGTGGTCTAAAAAGGCATTTTAAGGCCTTTAAACGCTTCTAACGCCTAGAAAACGCATTTTAATTTTCTGTGGTCTAAAAAGGCATTTTAAGGCCTTTAAACGCTTCTAACGCCTAGAAAACGCATTTTAATTTTCTGTGGTCTAAAAAGGCATTTTAAGGCCTTTAAACGCTTCTAACGCCTAGAAAACGCATTTTAATTTTCTGTGGTCTAAAAAGGCATTTTAAGGCCTTTAAACGCTTCTAACGCCTAGAAAACGCATTTTAATTTTCTGTGGTCTAAAAAGGCATTTTAAGGTCTAAAAAGGCATTTTAAGGCCTTTAAACGCTTCTAACGCCTAGAAAACGCATTTTAATTTTCTGTGGTCTAAAAAGGCATTTTAAGGCCTTTAAACGCTTCTAACGCCTAGAAAACGCATTTTAATTTTCTGTGGTCTAAAAAGGCATTTTAAGGCCTTTAAACGCTTCTAACGCCTAGAAAACGCATTTTAATTTTCTGTGGTCTAAAAAGGCATTTTAAGGCCTTTAAACGCTTCTAACGCCTAGAAAACGCATTTTAATTTTCTGTGGTCTAAAAAGGCATTTTAAGGCCTTTAAACGCTTCTAACGCCTAGAAAACGCATTTTAATTTTCTGTGGTCTAAAAAGGCATTTTAAGGCCTTTAAACGCTTCTAACGCCTAGAAAACGCATTTTAATTTTCTGTGGTCTAAAAAGGCATTTTAAGGCCTTTAAACGCTTCTAACGCCTAGAAAACGCATTTTAATTTTCTGTGGTCTAAAAAGGCATTTTAAGGCCTTTAAACGCTTCTAACGCCTAGAAAACGCATTTTAATTTTCTGTGGTCTAAAAAGGCATTTTAAGGCCTTTAAACGCTTCTAACGCCTAGAAAACGCATTTTAATTTTCTGTGGTCTAAAAAGGCATTTTAAGGCCTTTAAACGCTTCTAACGCCTAGAAAACGCATTTTAATTTTCTGTGGTCTAAAAAGGCATTTTAAGGCCTTTAAACGCTTCTAACGCCTAGAAAACGCATTTTAATTTTCTGTGGTCTAAAAAGGCATTTTAAGGCCTTTAAACGCTTCTAACGCCTAGAAAACGCATTTTAATTTTCTGTGGTCTAAAAAGGCATTTTAAGGCCTTTAAACGCTTCTAACGCCTAGAAAACGCATTTTAATTTTCTGTGGTCTAAAAAGGCATTTTAAGGCCTTTAAACGCTTCTAACGCCTAGAAAACGCATTTTAATTTTCTGTGGTCTAAAAAGGCATTTTAAGGCCTTTAAACGCTTCTAACGCCTAGAAAACGCATTTTAATTTTCTGTGGTCTAAAAAGGCATTTTAAGGCCTTTAAACGCTTCTAACGCCTAGAAAACGCATTTTAATTTTCTGTGGTCTAAAAAGGCATTTTAAGGCCTTTAAACGCTTCTAACGCCTAGAAAACGCATTTTAATTTTCTGTGGTCTAAAAAGGCATTTTAAGGCCTTTAAACGCTTCTAACGCCTAGAAAACGCATTTTAATTTTCTGTGGTCTAAAAAGGCATTTTAAGGCCTTTAAACGCTTCTAACGCCTAGAAAACGCATTTTAATTTTCTGTGGTCTAAAAAGACGTTTTAAGGCCTTTAAACGCTTCTAACGCCTAGAAAACGCATTTTAATTTTCTGTGGTCTAAAAAGGCATTTTAAGGCCTTTAAACGCTTCTAACGCCTAGAAAACGCATTTTAATTTTCTGTGGTCTAAAAAGGCATTTTAAGGCCTTTAAACGCTTCTAACGCCTAGAAAACGCATTTTAATTTTCTGTGGTCTAAAAAGACGTTTTAAGGCCTTTAAACGCTTCTAACGCCTAGAAAACGCATTTTAATTTTCTGTGGTCTAAAAAGGCATTTTAAGGCCTTTAAACGCTTCTAACGCCTAGAAAACGCATTTTAATTTTCTGTGGTCTAAAAAGGCATTTTAAGGCCTTTAAACGCTTCTAACGCCTAGAAAACGCATTTTAATTTTCTGTGGTCTAAAAAGGCATTTTAAGGCCTTTAAACGCTTCTAACGCCTAGAAAACGCATTTTAATTTTCTGTGGTCTAAAAAGGCATTTTAAGGCCTTTAAACGCTTCTAACGCCTAGAAAACGCATTTTAATTTTCTGTGGTCTAAAAAGGCATTTTAAGGCCTTTAAACGCTTCTAACGCCTAGAAAACGCATTTTAATTTTCTGTGGTCTAAAAAGGCATTTTAAGGCCTTTAAACGCTTCTAACGCCTAGAAAACGCATTTTAATTTTCTGTGGTCTAAAAAGGCATTTTAAGGCCTTTAAACGCTTCATTTTAAGGCATTTAAACGCTTCTAACGCCTAGAAAACGCATTTTAATTTTCTGTGGTCTAAAAAGGCATTTTAAGGCCTTTAAACGCTTCTAACGCCTAGAAAACGCATTTTAATTTTCTGTGGTCTAAAAAGGCATTTTAAGGCCTTTAAACGCTTCTAACGCCTAGAAAACGCATTTTAATTTTCTGTGGTCTAAAAAGGCATTTTAAGGCCTTTAAACGCTTCTAACGCCTAGAAAACGCATTTTAATTTTCTGTGGTCTAAAAAGGCATTTTAAGGCATTTAAACGCTTCTAACGCCTAGAAAACGCATTTTAATTTTCTGTCGTCTAAAAAGGCATTTTAAGGCCTTTAAACGCTTCTAACGCCTAGAAAACGCATTTTAATATTCTGTCGTCTAAAAAGGCATTTTAAGGCCTTTAAACGCTTCTAACGCCTAGAAAACGCATTTTAATTTTCTGTGGTCTAAAAAGGCATTTTAAGGCCTTTAAACGCTTCTAACGCCTAGAAAACGCATTTTAATTTTCTGTGGTCTAAAAAGGCATTTTAAGGCCTTTAAACGCTTCTAACGCCTAGAAAACGCATTTTAATTTTCTGTGGTCTAAAAAGGCATTTTAAGGTCTTTAAACGCTTCTATAACCATTTTGGCATGAAGTGGACCGAAAACTTAATTTTTTGTTCTAAATGATGTGTGTCAAGTTTCGTGGAAATCGTTCAGATTTAGATATTCATATGTATTTTTTTTTTTTTTTGGTTTTAATCTGTGTAATATATGGCTCCTAAATGGTAATAAACATGATATTAGATGTAGGTGGAATTTTTTTTTGGATTTTTTAATCTGTGTAATAAAATGAAAAAAAATGGATTCAAATCATGAAATTTGAAATTAGTTTTGGAAATTATACAAAAGTTAATATAGAGGTGGTATGGAGTTAGATATCTGTTGCGGTCAGAATTAGTGTGTAGAGTTGAGATATGGAGGTACTTTTTTTGGAAATACGAAGTATAAGAGAACAAAGGTACTAAATGGTGCTCAAATTTTCAAATTATGGTCGATATTGGTATTTGGGTTGATTGACTCTTCTGATGTATGCAGATTTCTCTGAAATCGAAATAGTATGTTAAGTCTTTCATAAGTATTTCCCCACAATCGCTAACGAAGTAGTAGTATGCTAGTCATTTAAAAAATATATGCCGACTTCTATAATAAAAATTCAAGGAAGAAGATCATGAGCAATTCAAAGAACATATGTGAATTCATGGTACATTTTCGAATCAATGATACTTTTTACGAACCCATTAAAATAGAAAATAAATTGTTAATAATCTGATTTAAATTAAAATATTATTTCGATTTTGATGGGATCGACGCCCCCAGAACAACCCTTTCTAAAATACTTGCATATCAAATTTAGAACTTCTAAAGAATAGGATGTGAATAATCAACTGAATTAAGATTAAAATATCGTTAGAACATTTCCAACCCGTTGTGAAGGGTATTATGTTACACATTAGATTTTTTATCGTGCCACATTAAGCCATTCGATTGCCCGACCCTAACATAACAATCAATTATTAATTTTCTATAAAACCGGTTTTATTTATTTTTTTTCTATTTAGATGAAAGATTTATTTTTTCGGCTACTCCCCACAATAATTTTCTAGTTCAAATTTGAAATACACTGCAACAACAATAATAATGTTTTCTAGAAGGGGGTTGGGATTACATCAAAAACAAATCAACCAACCTGGCTGCATTCGGATAAATGAACAATTAATTGGTTTTCATTGTTAGACAGCGAAAAAGGGTCTTTCTCGTGTGGACAACACCTTTTGTGATGTGTTGTGCATGCAGTGCGGGCAGTGCTTCTGAAATCCAATGGGCCAGGTAAAAAAGAAAGGAAAACATGCACGCACACACACACAGCCAGAGGGGGAAACAAGTCATGAACAGTCATTTAAAGTGGAATAATTGTGAAAATATTGGAAAAGAAAGACAAATGTTCTCGATGTCCCGCAGGTATCTTTTGAGATACTTGACAATTGTATTTGACACATTTTTAGAGAAGAAAATAAATCCCTTTTTATGACCTCCTTAGTTTTTGTGCGTAATAAAAACCAATTGACTAGATTTTTTTCGGATGGGTACTTCTCGAATCGAATCAATTGACCTGGTCAGTGATAACCCGGGTCATATGTTAGTTAGTTAGCCATACCATGTGTCATAAATGTCATAGTTAATGATAATTTATTGATGGTCGATCGGTCATTCGGTCATCACATGTGTGAGAGAGTGTTCATGTGTGTGTTGTGTCCATGTACCTGAATGGGAAATGAAGGGGAAATTTAGAACACAGGTCACTCACATCCATCCAATCTGATTGTGAAGCGCGAACTGCGAACAATGGTTTTTGTCTTACATATAAAACCTGAGATAATCTGGAAAAAGGTAACAGATTCACGTAAGACATCAATGAGTGAAGATCAACGGCGGAGATATTAGTTCGGGTTAATAGTGAAAGAAACGCGATTGTATATTCGAAAAATAAATTATCAAAGCACACAAAGAAGAAAATGGCTCCCGCACAAATAATGGATCTAGCTGAAAGTGGAATGAGTTATTCACACAAAAAGTTCCAAGGTGGCAATGCCCGTTATGCCCATAAGAAATTTGGTACAAGGACGACACCATCACCAACGACAGTCGCCGGCATGTATGGAGAAGCTATGCCACAATCAGTGCAGTTTGATGGAACCACAATTTGCAGCAGCAACAGCCAGGAGAATGTGATGGTGAACAAAAGCAAGAAATCCTCACGGGGTGGTGATATTTTCCGACCCTATGCCCTGGGTGATAATACACCACGCAAAAGGAAACATCAAGATGTCGAGGAAAATGATCAGCAAAATGGAGAATCAGAAGAAAATCGCCATTATGGCAAAAGATTTGCTGTAACATCACCTATTCCTCCTGCAGTAACATCACCAGTTCTTCCAGCCCTAACAACCACACCCCCTTTGGAACCCTCTCTACCCCTACTACCCCCTCTAATGCCAATGTTTGGTCTCCAGCCACTGCAATTCAATGCCGAAACATTTGCCCTAATGTTCCGCAAACAACATGAGGCTCTATGTATTGGTGAAACGCTGAAGAGGTTTGCCTAATTTTTTTCTTTGCAATGTCTCTAAACGTGTGAACCCCCCTTGTGATAATTTGAAATTGTATTTTATTTCAAACAAAATTTAGTTTTAAGTATTTTTTGCTTAACCACCAGTGATTATTTTTTGATTGTGAATATTTTCGAAAATTTATTATTATTATTTTTAAATTTATTTTTAAGATTTTTTAATTTGTTTATTACAACAAACAAAAAATTGTATATATTTTGTAAGAAATTGATTATAAATTTGTATAAATTGAACAAAAATTATAAAAACAAATATTTATTAAATGAAATTTATTGACGTATAAAATTTGAAAGATAAATTGTGGATTTTTATTTTGGAATTGGGAATTAATTTTGGAAAAAATATAACCTGGGATTTATAAACCTGGAACTAAATTCCTATCAATAAAATTGTCAGAAAGACATACAATTTTTCCAATGGATCCGATTTCGGTATAGATGTAGATATAACTTCCATATTGTATCACTCGATTATCTAAATAAATTGCTTAAAAGAATAAAGGACCACGATCTGCGAATCTGCGCTTGGAATGTGCGCACGTTGTACATAATAGGCGCAGTTTTCGCCTTGGCGGATGTACTCGAGAAGTACAAAGCCGATATTATTACCTTACAGGAAATGCGATGGAAAGGGACTGGCGCCAGCGAATCAGATGATTACGCCCTGTATTATAGCTGCCATGAAACGAGACGTGAATTTGGCTGCGGATTCATGGTTAACAGGAGAATTAAAGACCTCGTCTCCAGATTCACTCCAGTAGATGTACGAATTGCTATAACCCGTATAAAAGCGAAGTTCTTCTACATCAGTATTATTTGGGTCCATGCTCCGACCGAAGATAAATGAAAAGACCAAAGACATATTTTACGAGCGCCTAGAAACAGCATATGACCGTTGCATTGGTCAAATCGAAATGGAAAATATCTTTCGGACCCACCGTCGGAGAAATTCAGCCTCCACGAAGAAACATCAGACAACGGCATGAGGTTGATTGACTTCGCGGAGGGAAAAAAACATGGTAGTAGCAGCAGCACCAGATTCAAGCATCTCGATATACACAAGGCCACTTGGATTTCTCCCAATCGAACAATGAGAAATCAAATCGATCATGTTGTGATAGAC